GTATGTGTATGATTGTGTGTGTGTGTGTGTGTGTATGATTATGTGTGTATGAGTGTGTGTGTATAAGTTTATCTGTGTGTGTGTGTGTGTGTGTGTGTGTGTGTGTGAGTGTGTGCATATAGGTCCAGTTACTCCAAACCCCTCAAACACAGCAGCCAGCAGGACTCCAAGCCACCCACCTGGACATACAAAGTTATCTAAAAGGAGGATGGCTGGAGATATAAAAAAATAACACTTGTGTGAGTGTGTGTATATGATGTGTGTGTGTGTGAGTGTGTATATGTGTATTAGTGTGTGTATGCATGTATAAGTGTGTGTGTATGAGTGTGCCTCTGTGTATATCTGTCAGTGTGTGTCTGCACACATATGTGTGTGCACACATCTGTGTTGTGCATCTGTGTGTCAGGGTGTGTGCATGTATTAATGTTTGTATGTGTCGGGGTGCGTGTGTATATATGTCGGTGTATGCATGTGTAAAGGTGTGTATGTGTCGTACGTATCTATGTATCTGTGTGTTAATGTGCATGTATATCTGTGTAAGTATGTATGTATGTGGTAGTGTGTGCATTCCTCTAAGCAGTCAAACACCAGCACAACATACAAACACACTCCTGCAATCTAACAAAAATATTACATACAAACACACCTCTGCATTCAAACTCCAAAAAAAAATACAAACACACCCCTTCACTCAAACACAAATGTACATCCGCATTAAAAAGTGAACATTACATTCAGACATACCCCTGCAATCAAACTCAAACATTACATACAAACACACCCCTGTATTAAAACACTAAAACTATATGCAAGCACCCCTTCAAACACCAACATTGTACATTACACTATAGCGCCAATAAATGCTGCAGCGCTGTACAGATATACAACCTACAAATTTTGACTTAGGGTGTAATATTTAGGGCGCCTTGAACCTAAAAAGTTTGGGAACCACTGCTCTAACTTGTTTGGATTCCCAACACTATTGAGTCCTTTTACTTATTGTAAAATTGGTGGGAAAGATTTAAAAGTAGTAGTAGAAAGGAGTGTTAACTCAATTTTGCCTAGGTCCCAGTAGAAGTTCCCCATCCACTCAGGGCTGGTGCAAGGCAAAAAAATTTGCCACCTCCCATATGTCCTGCCCACCATGTGACATCACAATGCCCCGCCCATACGCTCTGCTATATGGGCCAACGCCAGTCTGCACAAAGTGTCTTTTATCTGAAAAGACAGTGTGTTTACATTAAAAAGCCTACAGGCACAGGCTGTAGACACCAGAACCACTACATTAAGCTGTAGTGCTTCTGGTGACTAGAGTATGCATTTAATGTGAGGTAAATTAGAGATTAGTGCCACTAACAATATATTGGATTGCCTACTTACCACCAGATGAGGACAAAAGGCTGATGATCCACAGGTCTGGTGTAGAAGAGGCTCTCTGAACACTGTTTGTAACAGTGCTCACAACAATTAACGAACAGGAAGCAGCTCCATTTTTTGGGGCCCCTTACATAGCTCAAGGTCTGGGCCCCCAGAGCTTGACCATAAGTATGCCTACAATGCCCACCCATAAATCCACCTACATGGCCCACCAATGAGTTCTCTCACAGGGAGTGGAGTGTATGTGTGAAGGGGATGTGTTATTGTAGAGGATGTAATGTGTGTGTGTGTGTTCTTATAGAATGTAGTGTATAGGGATACCAATTTGTGTAAGGGATGTAGTGTGTGTGTATAGTGGATGCATTGTATGTTTCTGGGTGTGTGTGTGTGTCTAAGGAATGCAAGGTGTGTTTCTGTGTATGTAATTGAATGCAGTGTGTGTCTGTAACGGGTGCATTGAGTGTGTAAGAGATGCATTTTGTTTCTGTGTGTAAGAGAATGAGTGTTTGTGTGAGCATAAGGAATGCATTGTGTGTTTTGTGTGTTTCTGTGTGTGAGTAGGGATGCATTGTATGTTTCTGTGTGTGTGGGGGGGATGCATTGTGTATGTGTGTAGTGTAAAAGAGAGGGTTTGTGGGGTAGAATTGGGACTGAGAGGGGAGCAGCTCTTTATTTTTTTTTTAACAAAAATCATAGTGCCCCCCCCTCCTGTCAATTAGTGATCTCTTCTTCCCTCCTGTCCCTCAGTGTTCTCCCCCTCTCCCCCTTAGTGTTCTCTCCCTTGGCTCCCTGTCCCTCTGCAGTCCTCCCTTGGTAGTTTTCTCAGTCCCCCTTCTCCCCCTTAGTGGTCCTCCCTCTCCCAAACCCCTTATTGGTCCTTCCCCTCATCCCTCTACTTAGTGGTCCTCCCTCCTTAGTGGTCCTTCCTCTCTTCCCCTCCCCCCAGTGGTCAGTGGTCCTTACCCTCCTCCCTTCTCTTAGTGGTCCTTCTCCTCTCCCCCCCCTTAGTAGTTCTCCCTCTCCCAAACCCCTTAGTAGACCTCCCTCCCTCCTCCCTCATTGGTCCTCCCTCCTTTGGTGGCCCTCCCTCCCCCCCCTTAGTGGGTCCTCCCTCTGCCAAACCCTTAGTGGACCTTCCCCCCCTTCCTCCCCCCAGTGGTCCTTACCCCCCCTCCCCCAGTGGTCCTTACCCCCCTCCCCCAGTGGTCCTTACTCCTCCCCCAGTGGTCCTTACTTGGAGTTCGGTGTTTGGCGATTTAATGGCGTGTTTTGAAAGGCTGCAGGGCAATCAATCAACAAGTGTTTGACTCGTGTGCCCTTAGAAGCCATCACAGCCATGCCTACTAATGGTATGGCTGTGATTGGCCAGTACAGCATGTGACCCAGCCTCTATATATAAGCTGGAGTCGCGTAGCGCCGCACACACATGCGGTCTTATTAGTGTAGGGAGAGGATGCTGCCGCTGATAGGGACAGCTTAGGAAAGAATTCCTCAAACTAGTACATTAGTGGGGTGGGGTGCACTTCATATCTGAGAGTCAAATAGAAGCTTCAAATACCGCAGTTACATCAGAGTTTTAAAAAGTAATATTTTTTTGGTGCTAAATAGTACATTAATGGGGTAGTACATTAGTTGGGTGCACTTCATATCTGAGAGTCAAATAGAATCGTCAAATACTGCTGTCACATTGCAGTTTTAAAACTTAAACTTTTTTGGGATCCTAAACTGCTAAATAGTATTTTAGTGGAGTGCACTTCATATCTGAGAGTCAAATCGAAGCGTCTAATAGTGTGCTTACAGCTCAGTGGTAAACATTCTTATTTTCTGGATGCTAATCTGCGAAATAGTACATTTTGGGGCCTGTTCTTCATATCTGAGAGTTAAATTGAGGCGTCTAATAGTGTGCTTACTGCGCACTTGTAAACATTCTAATTGTTTTGCTGCTAATCTGCTAAACAGTACCTTTTGTGGCCTGCGGTGCACTTCATATCTGAGAGTCAAATAGAAGCGTCTAATAGTGTGCTTACTGCGCACTTGTAAACATTCTAATTGTTTTGCTGCTAATCTGCTAAATAGTACATTTTGGGGCCTGTTCTTCATATCTGAGAGTCAAATCGAAGCGTCTAATAGTGTGCTTACTGCGCACTTGTAAACATTCTAATTGTTTTGCTGCTAATCTGCTAAATAGTACATTTTGGGGCCTGTTCTTCATATCTGAGAGTCAAATCAAAGCGTCTAATAGTGTGCTTACTGCGCACTTGTAAACATTCTAATTGTTTTGCTGCTAATCTGCTAAACAGTACATTTTGGGGTCTGTGGTGCACTTCATATCTGAGAGTCAAATAGAAGCGTCAAATAGTGCGTTTACTGCGCACTTGTAAACATTCTAATTGTTTTGCTGCTAATCTGCTAAACAGTACATTTTGGGGTCTGCGGTGCACTTCATATCTGAGAGTCAAATAGAAGCGTCAAATAGTGTGCTTACTGCGCACTTGTAAACATTCTAATTGTTTGCTGCTAATCTGCTGCTTACATTGGAGTATTAAAAAGTCAATTTTTTTTATTTATTTTTGGCGCTAAATAGTATATTTGGGGTGTTCACTTCATATCTGAGCGTCAAATCGAAGCGTAACTTTGATCTGAATTTACTACATCGGTCACTTGTAATATTGTTTCACACCTACAACACTTGTTACGCAGATCTAAATGATAGAAAATTGATTGATATTTTCTACACTAGAAACTACCAGATAACAAGCTGCTATATTTAAACCAGTGAGTAATAGCTAAGAGGTACTTTAACAATATTGTAATTCTGGGGCAATACCCTCACAAGTCAAACTGAGAGGTCAGTTTATAGGGAAAACTGTTGCCTGGAGGAAATTCTAAAACAATTTCCATATGTCCTTTGTAGACTTTTCATGCTGGAAAAACACAGGTGCCAACTGCTGTGGCTTTCTGCAGTGTGCATACCGGCAAGGAGGACAGGATTGAGGAGTGGGTGGAAGATGATGTGGAGGATAATGAGGTTCTATAACCCACATGGAATGAAGGTCATGCGAGTGACGTGTGCAGTTTGGAGGAAGAGGCGCTGTGGCACAGAGGCACCAGCACAGCATAAGAGGGAGCAGGGTGCAAAAGCAGAGCGGCCATCCCCTAACGCTCGTCAGCATGTATTAGCTCGAGAATTACCAGTTATCCAAGTAATACATGTAGAGATCAAAGGATCCATAATAGACTTGAGCAAACCCGAACTGCAAAGTTCGGGTACGTACCAGATTTAACGATCCATTCGTAGTTTCACAGTGAGGTGGGCAGTCCAGTGACCAGGACCCAGACACTGTCAGGATGTGACATTCACTGTAGCGGCTGTGCGCGCTTTTGGCGTTGTCACCCTGCTACTACTCGCCTGTCTGCACTGAAAAGTAACTTTGGCCGTCCCGCTCACCGCCTCATGAGACTTTGAGAGCAGCAGCAGGCGATAGTGGAGTTTAAGCTGCAGTACGAACAGGTCAGTGGCTCTGCACCAGACTTCCCTCCAATTGATCAGAGTTAAAGGATTTCAAGTGGACTCATTACAATTACAGGGCCTCTAAAGTGTCCTGTATTGTTATTTGTCGTCACTACCTTCCCGCGTCGGGAGTGGGTCATTTGCGCGTCTCATGCCTTCTTTGCATGTGGTAGCCGTTTCTCAGGGTCCCTGTACGGAATGGAACCCTGATTCCCCGTTACCCGTGGTCACCATGCTAGGCGCAGAAACTGGCATCGAATGTTGATATGGATGACATCCGCATGCAAAGTTGCCGCCACGGGGATGTGCGATTTGCCCGAGGTTCTCTAGAGTCAACAAAGTTCCTGCGCAACTATAATGTAAACAGCTACTCCAATTAAAATATATATATATATATAAAAACAGTGTTGGCTACCTCATCCTCCTCCACCGCCACGGTCACCGCCTCCTCAACCTATGGGTCACTTAGTATAAACTATGTACACAATAGCAGAGGCTTGTGAAGGCCTTTTTTCCATGCATCAGGAGTTGAGCTCAGTTTGAACAATGAAAGAGAATACCCTGTACTCCAACCCTCTCTCAAATGGATAATTCTGTTGATCCTCCTGACAGCCATGCTTTAGATTTTGATTTATGTTCTTCCAAAGCTTCAAAATTCAAAGATTCCATCTAGTGCTATTTTATGGCTCAGCTGTATTTTTAATTTCTATGTTATTTTAAGTGATTTCCCTATCCACATTTGTTTGCAGGGCACTTGTCCTACTCTCTTCCCCTTTTTACTTCCTTTTGCAGCCCTCTAGCCCTTTCCAAGAGTTTTTTTAGAGGCATTTTTGTGGCCAAAAGTTCGGATCCCCATTGACTTCAATGGGGTTCGGATTCGGGATCAAGTTCAGGGTCAAGTTCGAGCTCGAACCCGGACTTTTTTTGAAAAGTTCGGCCGAACCCTCCAGACCCGAACATCCAGGTGTCCGCTAAACTCTAGTCATATTCCCTTTTTATCCCCATTGTATTTTGGGTCTCTCATCTCCATGTATGCCTATGTCCTCATTTCCCTACCTCTTGTCTATGTCCCATTGTCCCCCCTTTTGTCCAAGTCCCGTTATACCCCTCTTGGGTCTATGTGTCCATCACTCCATTGTTTCTGTCTCCCTTTGTATTTTCCCACCACTACCATGTCTTTAATAACATGGCCAAGAAAAAAGGGAGTAATAGTCGTGCTTTGTCAGATACAGGGTGCTGTAAGGAGTTTATGGGGTTATAACATAATGTCATATCTCTGCTCCCTCTGTCAGCACACTTATCACTTAGTTAAGAAGACTACTAAAAAATAATGAAAATAATATAGAGGTACATACAAAAGGGTATGCTGTTGTTGACCTACTTATGGCAAATAGCCCTGGAATGACATTCACTCTTAGTTTGATAGCAAAATGGTCTGGGACAAAGAGACCTAGTAGGGCCCCTTGTAAGTATGCCTTAATGAGACATTTTTTAGTAAGGGTCCTAGTCACATGATCTTGCTAACTGTAAACAATTTGGAATCAGCATTGACTCTACAAAAAGGTTACAACTTATTATTTCAATGGTTATCTGGAAACAGAGGTAGCGATTGAAAGAAGTAGAAACAGTTATGGCAAAGCATATAACTGGTAGAATGAATAGCTATGCTAATGAATTTATATATGGTCTTGAATGCTTTCTTGAAGCTAAACTAAAGGATAAAAAGGCTAATTAATGCACAGGAAAAATATGCATTTGAAACCTAAATCCACTAACAACAAGAGTGCTATTCTGTTTGTTGTTTATGTAAGATGTTTGAAATATTGGGCACAAAGCTGAGAGAAGCTGTATGTTAAAACAGCACTATATTAATTAGACCAATATCAGCCTCTGGAAAACATAAAGAGCTGAGCCAAGCTTAACTTGGCTTAGTATCAATGTTCCTGAGTGCTGCAAGACACGCATTAAAAGAAGGAAGTGATCCAGTTAGTTTACACAAATTCAGGCTTTAGAAGCACAACATAATTACATGTAACCTTCCAGTGTTAACTCTTAAAGTGTAATCAGTGACAAGCAGGATGATATTGTCTAGCACTTTGCACATTGTTTTTGTCAATTAATTAATAGAAAAAAAACAGTAGCTGCCAGATCTAAGGTTTAACCCCTTCATGCTAAATAAGTCAGGACTATCACAAAACTGTCCCTAGAGGAGGGCTGAGTGTCCCAGCACGTCATTGTTTACAGAATATGCTGCAATCTACAAGAATATTTTAACACTGACAGCATTGAGGCTGGAACAGTCAATATCTGCCCCTTAAAGGCATTTCTTAAAATGCTGTCACTTTCAGAGGGTGACCAAATACGCTAACAGAAATACAGAAGTAAAAACAGTGAGAGCACACACTAAATAAATACCACAGGTATACAGATGTTGTGGAATCTAAAATATAAATAGGAGAAAGACCATAGGGTAATATAGTAAACACAATTTTATCACATGACAGGAGGCTTCGTATTTTGCATAATCTTTCTTTACTATCTCCATAGCAGCAAAGAAATGAGTGACAAAACTTTTAACCAATCACAACGTAGAATAGGGTATAAGAGGTGAGACCTATGACATAATTTCCTCTTTCTTTGCTGCTCCATCACAAGTTAAGTACCAAATTTTGTATTATCTATTCTACATACACTTTTCATTTACATGCCTTTTGTTTTCACTGTACCTTTATATATTGCCCTATTAATGCTCTTAACCCCTGTATACCAGGGGACCCTGTCTGGCTCCCTAACTGTCTTTCACGGCTTTCCCGCCGTCTGTACTTTCCCTCAATATTCTCTGTTTCTCTTTAACAGTTTTTCTGTTCTTTCTACCGAACGCTTTATTCGGTAGTTTTGCGCATTCACCTGTTTTACTCGAATGCCCGCGCGACCGCACATTGACTATTCGTTTCTTTCTACCGAACGCTTCGTTCGGCAGTTTGACGCGATCGCCTTTTTTAAGCGTTCGCATCTATTTCTATTTGCACGTTCGGCAGTTCGCATAGATCTTCTATTCACGTTCGGCAGTTTTATGCGCATGGCAAGCTTCAGTTTGCCGCCCAAACTGGGGGAGGTACTATTCTCCACACACTAAGCCTGTCAGTCCGGCGGCCATCTTAAAGAGATAGACACTGCCTGATTTTTCTGCTCCTGCTAATCCAACAAGCAATTGAAAAGCCTTACCCTTTTCACTCAGTGGGACCAGGTTAGTGCCTTACACTTGGGGTTGGTTTAGCCAGTTGGTCTGCACCTTATTCTGGCCGGGGTGAGCCCCCATTTTACGCTGCTAAACGGTCCTGTTCATGCAGGTTCCGATCACCTGGGTGAGCCCCAGTGAATCAGCCCTCTCCTCTACGACCTACCGGTCTCTAACCACAGGTTATTTAGTCCTGATACTATACCACCCCGGTCCCCAGGCCTCTCCATTAATCGTGCCTAGTGCCCTCACGCAATTTACCGGGTGAGCCCCGAATCCTCATTCCTCATAATGGAGGAATCACAAACCCCAGACCTCCAGGCCATGATAACAGCAGCCGTGGCTGCAGCCATGGAACAAGCCGCTTCCAAGTCACTCCAAACAAACTCTGAAGTTCCCAGGCCCACCTCTAAACGGGTTCATTATAAGGCGGACTCCGAAGACTCCGACTCTTCCAGGGAACACTCCCAACCGCGAAAACGCCATTGGAAGGGCAATGTAACCCCACGCAAGGCTAAAGGGAAAGCCCCTGCTGATCGCAGGAAAGCCACGGTTCGTGCTACCCACGATGCCACACAACTTTCCTCAGGTGAGGAAGATGTAGAACCCACTCAGGCACTAGCTGTGCTGGATGAATGGCAGGCGGCAGCCTCTGACCAGGGGGACTCCGACAGAGATTCCACGGCCAACTCTGACCCTTACTTCATAAGGGAACAGGGTCTGGGTGAGCCCCAGGACTCCATGGCAACATCCATGGATAACCCACAGGAGGGCTCGGAGATTTTCTTCGACAATTCGGGCCTCCAAATGTTTGACCCAAGAAACATCCGGCACCCCCGTTCGGAAGAATGGTCACCACCTGAGCATTTGGCAAGGTTTATGCACTTCTGGCTCAGAAAACCGCTAGACAAGGAAGTAAGAAACCGGATGAGATCCGAATGCCCTTGCCCTAGTCTACCGGACAAAGTGACGCACACCCCCGAGTTTGACCCGCTCATGACTACGTTCATGTCCCGAGGGGGTCGGGATCCGCGCAAGGGCATAGAGCACGGCTTTAAAGGAGCGCAAGATAAGCTGCTAGATGCCATTGGGCCACTAGCCAGAATCATGGATATGGCGGATGAAGCCTATGAGAGGGCTGACACTTTTACCCCAGATACGGTGCGTGAATGGGCACGAGATACCCGTGAATGGGCACAAAGGTGTTTCTGTTTCCTAGGGAGCACCAACGTAGCCCTCTCTTCGGAGAGGCGCCGAGCAGCACTTTACCGTATCAACGAAAAACTGGTCGAACTGGGGGATAAGGAATTAGGACCCTTAGCACAGGGTAAATTATTTGGAGAGGCCTTCCTTAAGGAATTAAATAAAAGGGTCAACATATTCACGTCCCTTAACAAGGCACAATCTTCAATGCGGAAAGTCTTCCGCGGTTCCCTTTTTGGAAGGGCTGGACGGCAGAGGGGCCGTGCCGCCAGCCGTTTTTGGCCATCCGGCCCCCGTACAACAAGGACTCAGATGTTCTACCCAGACTCATCTAGTCGAAATAGATTCAACCACTTCAGGGGATCTGATCGTGGCCGAGGCACCCGAGGACGCTCACAAGCAAGATTCTCCAACGGTAAGTCGGAATCTTACTCTTCCTCTAACCCCCTGTCATATCGCAGGTCGTGTTTCTCTTTTTTTCCAGAACTGGAAAGAACTATCTTCAGATGCGTGGATAATCCAAACGGTGCAGGGCTATCGAATAGAATTCGACTCGACCCCGCTCCAGCTGACCCCTCCATGCCCAATCCAGACTACACGGGCAGATGCCCGCCTCATAGACGCGGAACTCCGAGAACTCCGCTCCAAGGGTGCCATCCAACCGGCTCCGGATGCCACCGGTTTCTACAGCAACATCTTCCTGGTCAGGAAGAAAACAGGCGAATATCGCCCCGTTATCAATCTCAAGGAGCTCAATTCGCACTTGGTATATCGACATTTCAAAAAGGAAGGTATACATCTCCTCCGGGACTTGCTTCGACGCGACGACTGGTTCACTAGTCTGGACCTCAAAGATGCGTACCTTACCATTCCGGTACACAGAAGCAGCCGTCCCTACCTCCGCTTCTTCTGGCACGGGATCCCTTGGCAGTTCACCTGTCTCCCGTTTGGCCTCAGCTCGGCCCCGTGGTGTTTTACCAAGATTATGAAGCCGGTAGTGGCAAAAATCAGATCCCAAGGTATAAGATGCATCATCTACCTCGACGATATCCTGATCT